ATGGGGAGTTTAAAGAAAAGGGGGGCCAAAAAATTACCCGGGCCTTGGTTTAAAAGGGGAAAAGCAAGTTTTTTTTCTTTGGGTTTTTCATTTCTTTTTTTTAAATTTTGGGGGCAAAAAAACAGTTAAGGGAAATTTTTTTTTAAAACCCTTTCCCAATTAAATTTTTTTGGGGATTAAAAAAATTATTAAAATCATGGGGCCCTAAATATAATATTGTATAGAATGTAAATGACGTTTTTATATTGAAAAATGGGGAATGGGGAAAATTACTTTTTTAACTTTAAAAAGAAGAAATACAAAACATAATATTCTGTGGTGATTAAGTTATAAACTTATGATGATGACAGATAGAATTTTGATTTATGGACTGCTTATAAGATAAAACAATACAAACATGTATATGTCAAAATGAATTACAGTAATGCTTAAGTTTCCTTATTCCTTTTTTTCTATTTTGTCTTTGGCTACTGTAATATTTATTCATGGACAGCTATTAATAGACAGTATGTATTGTTTATGGTACATAACACAACTATTTATCTATAAGTAATTAAATTATAGTAATCATAACGCATAAAAGAACTTAAATGTACCACGTGATTCTATAGTTCTAACATTTCAAAATTGCAGGGAGCACCAACAGTGGACATTAAAATGTTATCACTGAGGAGGGGAAATATCGGGCAAAAAAAATGAATATCTTTTTTGTTTTTCTCACAAATTCCGTTTCATTTAATTGCAGACGATGATTTGTCATTTTTTCTCTAGATGGTTCACCGTGGCAATTATAATCGGAAATTGTGGATTCCTGGTGAGGAAATAAAGTCATTGACTTGTCAAAGGGCCAAGGAATAGATATGATTTGGTTGCATACGATTTTGGCTATTTAGCATGTCCAAGTTCTTTCACTATATAACTTTTTTCATGGCTCATAGATATAAAGAAATGTCAAAATATGATAAACAAGATCAACAAGGAAAGGCGGCGTTCAATGAACGCAACCACCATATGATCAAGCAACAAGAACCAGTGGCAAGGAGCCCAGGCGGACCCCTAACAAAATCAGGGCAGGGCAAAGACAGAGCACGGCCAGGTTAATCATTAAATGTAAATAAATTGTAACTGATTAGAAATTCAAAGAAAAGAATAATAGGCCCACAAAGGGGAAGGGGACAGGAGACCAGGGGAAAGGGGGGTTGCTTTCACATTAAATACTTTGAATTATTGCATGTTGTCTTCAATTTAATCAACAAGAAACATGGCTTATGTATACACAATCAGGTAAATGGTTCCCGGCCAATAACTAGAGTTAGGTATATGGCAAGATTATGTGTAGATCTTGCGTAGGGTTACTTCTATGTTTTTTACACGTTTCATGCACATGCATATTTCATTTTAAAACAAATACTAAAGAGAAGAAATTCACGTTTTCGGATTTCAAAGAAAACATTATTAAAACTTTAATATAATATAATTTTCCTTGTACTTTTGGACCATTGTTGGCAATTATAGTAGTCTTGGTGATTTAGAAAACACTAAACCCGGTGCTAGGTTGGCATGAGAGATGTTGTACTATCAACATTTTTTACAGGTAGAGAATAAATTTAATTTGTTTTGAATTGCCTTCGAGCGATCTCAATTTCCAGGAATGTTCATGTTGAAACATTTGTCAGAAATGTTCTGACTTAACGGAATTAACAGCTGCAAATAATGTTGTGTTTCAAATTAGATTTAATATTGTAATTTCTGGATCTTTTTACGTCAATAAAGATATCATGTTTGATGTCATTTTTCGCAGCCAAATTTCATTTAATCTAAATCACTGTGAAGAAATATTTAAATTTATATAAAATACAGAACAAAAATCTATGGAACACCCAAAACGACAAAAATTGAAAATGTTGAAGCTCGGTTTAAACTCAATCAAACCGAGTATGCAACATTCATATAGTTTTGTTATGCTTCCGAGGGTTAACCCTTTTTCCAGATATTTTCATTGAACCTGTTCATGGACGGTACTAGACAGTGCAATCTACAGGTACACACCCCCAGCACCGTCTTTAGCAGAAAACAAAAGACAACCGTTCAACACTTAATCATGAAAATTGGTTACATTTTGATTTTAGAAACATCCACAGATGTGTTTATAGGGCGGTTATCATGGAACCTTCAATGTGACACTTTCTCGTGCCATTCCGTGACAAACGGCGTATGGTCTCAAAGTAACCCTTAGACGGCATAAGACAAAGTAGAATATACTACATGAAAGGCTTAGAAATAATTAGGTTATAAAATGAAATTATCGTGTTCATCACATTGTCACGCGAAGAACAAAAAGACGTTATCAGTCTCTTCTTAGTTCACGATGTAAAATTAAATTTATCTTTATGTTAAAAGATCACATTCAATAAAGATGTTTGAAAAGTCTTCAAAGAATATTATAAACTTATTCAGTCATTTCACAAGACAAGGAGATTAATCGAAGTGCCATTAAAACATGTCACATGTCTGCCACTTTCCTGCATGTATTATTTTATTTCATCATAAAGAATCTGCAGCACATCAATTGTATAGTACCTACAGCCATACGTCGATATTCGTTTCATGCCTCAGTACTAGCCACTCACTATTTTTGCATCAAAGCCCGGTAAAGACTTTCGATTCTTTCATTTTAGCTAGCTTTCGGAAAGTCGTTGGCTCTGCTTAGATACCCGCCCTTGACTGAAAAAAATGCAGAGAAGTGCACTTGATATCTTTCTTTATTCTGAAAAGTCGTCATAAAATCTTGACAGTGTCGGATTTTCTTAAAACCCAACCAAGCAACAAATCTAATATTAATTTTCCGATAAAGCGGTCAAAGACGCTATCATATGTTTCTTATTATTACTTACACAGACCAATAAACTGTGAACATAATAAATCGCCCATGATAAATGACTTTTCCCACTGTAAAGGGCAAAACATTAGGAATGTTTAACATGCCATAATTTCCGAAGGGAATTCTTAAATTCATACCATCTGTGGATCAATAACCCTACAACAATGGCCATGACGAAGATCAAATTTAGCCTAATAAATATGAACTAGATGTATGCATGAGATATAAGATATGAAATATGAAAAACAAGATTAACAAGAGGATCGAATATATAAATTTAATAATATGATAAATTGATAAGTGTATGTATGGAAATTGTCACTGTATTCATGGATGACAATCATTTGAGGTTTTTTACACTCTCATTGTAATCAACAAGTGTGACATAATTCTAAAGATTATTATAATATTTTAAAAATTAGTCCTGGTATCTTACTGAGCTCCTTGTCGGTGGTCCTGTGTTTTCTAGGTTGTGTGGAGTCGCGTTCATTGAACGCCGCAATTCCTTGATGATCTTGTTAAACTTCACAAATATCGCGCTGTGTGAAACTGAGTACATTATTAGAGAAGTTTTTTGAAAAGCATAATACTTTATTATGACGTCACCATGACGTCATAAAACTTGATGTTGGCTTTATCAGTTGTATTTTCTAAAGTATAAAACACATGATATTCACGTATTACTAAGATCATTTATTTAAATGTAGAATTTGCAATCACTGCAAATATTTCATACCGACGTGAGAATATTTCGTCTTTATACTCGATGCCTACTTTCTTATATAAATGTTATATGCTTCTACCTAATTCAAAGTAAATTAATATTATCTTAAGAGCATACACATCTACATAATGCGACTTAACGCAATACAATATAAAAGTTAATGTTAAGTTCAAGACTAATTGAGTTATTATATTATACAGACGTATTCATCTTTTAGTCACGCAAAATAAAGATAAAGGTCTCGTTAATCTATCTTTACAATTAGGAAAATTACAGGAGTAGGGTTTGAATGTCAGATTTTTTTCATTGCACATCTTACATGGATACTTAATAAATTAACTGTTTGAAATCATTTACTGTGCAAATTGTAGAGTTGTATCAAATCAAACCGTAACAACTTCTCCTTTGATTGACGACCAATGATGATTTGTAGTTTACAAATATGCATCACAAAAGAGATACATGTACATCAAGAGCAAAACACAAAAAAGTAGTAAAAAAATAATCCCGATTGAAATAAAATTCTGTCATTGCTGCTTCAATTAAAACTTGTTGCATAAAGTCCCATTATTTAGCTTGTTGGCTCGACGAAAAGTATGATCAAGGCTCGTGCTTCAACAATATGTTTTCGGCTCGGTTTGATTGAGCCTGTTCATTGACGGTAGCTTGCAATATTTTGTTGTATATCAGACTGATTTTCCCGTTAGTTTACCAATGCAGAAACATACTTTGGCAATGGATTTGAGGAGGCAAATGAAACAGCGTATCTTGGATAAAAATGTCAATTCACATACTACTTTTACAGTAGGAAAAATTGTAACAAATGAAATTACATTTATTTCCATGAATTTCTTTTACAGTAAACTTTTACAAAATTTTATGCAAAAAAAAATAATAATTTTGCGGTTCAAATCGGAACATTCACCCTTGAAGTATCTGTCAAGGGACAACAACTCGGCAAGCCCCGACTGGATTCTACGAAATGGATAATCTGTTCGTAACTGCAACACATAAAGTGCAATATGAGTGTTATATCGGATCCTTTAAAGGATGATTTAAATGGAAATAAAAGTAATGACAATTAGAATAGTTTGATGATATGTATGAGAACAAATTATGCATCAATGTTGATGTCAAAATTATGTTTAACAACGAATACTTATAAACTGCAAGATGCTAAATATGTGTATGTGCCAGAGAAGCTAAGCTAACAGTCAGACTATAGACAAATAGCTCTGTAAATTCAAGACGATCCGTTATTTATATCATTGATCTTTCCGATAATTGACAGCTGTTAAACAGATTCTGATAAGGTCTAAGAAACCATTCCATATGTTTAACAAATTTGTTAGACTCGAGGGAGCTGTCTTCAGGTATAAATGCTTGTTGGTAGCTCTCTACGAATTCATGCACTTCTACGAATGCAACGGTATTTGCACGTAGTATGTTAGTTTAAGAGGGATAAATAAGTGTGGATGTTATAAAACCTTCGAACTTTAAACAGATCATTCACTTTATTGCTATGGGGAAGAAAGAATTTCGAAGGTTAATATGTTTGGTTGTTTTGTTTGTGTCATTTCAGAGCTACGATTTTAAATCGATTATTAATGACACTGCTGTAGGGAATATTGATGGTACATATTTACAAAGGATGGGAAAAATGCTGAATAAACCAGTTTTATCTTTGATAGGAGCCGCAATGAATAATTTGCATAAGTGTGAACAGTGGACCACCTGGTCGTCTTGCACCGCTTCAACGCCGAATCACTTTGGACTTAAAAAGCGAACACGACTATGTGGCACAGAAAGGAAAATGACCGAGACAGGTCCTACACACACGGAGGAGGATTTTAATGTATGCAAGGGCGTATGTCCAGCTGACTACGAAATTATCGAGAATGGATTATGTATGAAACTTTACACTATAACAAAATCAAATGCAGATGCCCAAAAGCAATGTGAAGCCGATGGAGGGAATTTGGTAAAAATTGACACCGAAAGCAAATTAGATGATGTCGGAAAGTTAACGGGAATTTCTACATTAGGCTATATTTACGTTGATGGCGTTCGCAAAGACCCAAATTCTGCATGGGTTTATGCAACTCCTACCAAGAGCATATTCTTTAAATGGGCAACTGGTGAACCGAACAATCAATCAAACCAGCTATGCATTGTTGTTAAAGGAAGTGACAAATTAATGTTTGATGGTTCATGTTCTAATGGCAGACCTTTCATTTGTGAAATAACTAAAAATAATTGAAATATTATGCTAATCAAGACATTGGCATATTTTTCTATAATTTTCTTTATTCACAAACTCAATATTTGATGTTTGGCTACTCGCAATATACTAAACCTGCTAAAAGTTTTCGTGTTTTAATATTTTGTATTGTTTCTTAATGGTGTTTTATACGATGTGTCTATTTGATCTTTAGAAAACAAATTGTGATTAATGTTTGCCTTTTGGGGCGTTCTTTATGGATTCTATTTTTCTCTATTATAAGTAAACTTGGACATTAATTTGTAGCATAAGTGCATAGTAACTTGAGCAAAAAAGTTTATGTTAGGAAATATGTGTTGAATTGAGTATGTGATTAAAATGTTTATAACATTTGAAATCGTTTATTTATATAATAATCACTTGCTGTGAATCAGAGCAATCACATAATTATATAGGTATATTGCTTGATGAATTAATTGTTCATGTAATATTACTTTCTCTCGCATGACGGAGAAGCTATTTGAGAGTGTTATTTGCACAATATGAGAAGCAATTCCACATAACACGACTGCAACTCATGATATCACACGATTGTGCCCAAACATTATTTAACTGCCCGCTTTACCCAAAAGGAAGGAGATCGGTTTTCTTATCCAGGGCTCGCGTTTTCGACCCTCTGGTGAGGCATAGCTTTTCCGTGACAAATGATCTGGAACATAAAACCTTATGGTCATTTGTCGGTGACTTTAGTAGAAATTAGTAAATACTTGTACATGTAATTATCAAGGAAAGTCCATTAAGTTTTGGAAAACAATAATGGACCATTTGTTATGTATATACATGTTTAACCAAATAACACCATGGGTTTGTTTTAAAACTTTTTTTGCCATACCTTTGAGTACCTTTATACATGAAAATTGTTTCACAAATGGTACCAATAATTTAACATGTTGCGAATTGGAAATTAATAAGGCTTTATATCAGTGCATTGCAAAATGGTAGGGGATAAAAATCTAATAGAACTATCTGACAGGGCGTATTTCTAATCATGCGATATTCAGAATAAACATGCTTATTGTAAGAAGCAGATGTGTTCTGTAATGTTTTTATGACTGAGGTACTTGGAGTTGGCAGACGACACGATTGTTGTTTGTTAGCATTACCCAGAACAAGGTTTTAAATTCTCTTACATGTGCAAAACTATTTTCCAAAAGTCTTGAATCTCTAGAATTTTCAAGAAAGTGCTATGTGACCCTTGTTTTAATTATTTTTCATGTTCGGGATCAAAATACAATTGTACTTTCCGATGGTCGAGGCTCAAATAAAATTTTACACTGTATTTCTGCCTCTATCAACGTGTTAATAGTTTTTGCTTCTGCGGTTCCTGGCAATAAACATCTTACAACATCATTATTTACCATTTGCATTGCCACATCAAATGTTTACTTTTTCTTCTAATATTACAGTAATTAAAACTGCCAAGTATCGTAAAATCTCACAGGCAGGTCACGTGACGTGACTTGCATACATATAAAAAGTCATCAAATTCACATGAACATTTCAAAGAGAAGTTTCTAGCAATTAAGGAAGAACATGAAGATTTTATACATATTTATACGGACGGTTCAAAGGAAGGTTGCAAAGTAGGTGCGGCTGTGTTTGAAAATAATTTTACATCTAGTATGAGGTTACATGTACCAGATAATGCATAAAATTTTGACTGCTGAAGCAAAAGCTATAGATTTAGCATTGTCATACATAGAACATCATTCCCATGATAAATTTGTGATATTTTATCCATTAATAATAAAAAATCTGACAATATCATGATAAAGAAACTTCTTTTACGATTTCATGATTATACTTAAAATAAAATCTGTTAAATTATATTGGATTCCAAGTCATGTAGGTATACGAGGAAATGAAAAAGTAGAGGCTTTAGCTAAACAATCATTAAATTTTCAAAAAACTGACTTATTGTTACCTGCTTGTGATTTTAGAACGGCTATAAATAAACTCGTTTCATCTGAATGGAAAGCAAATTGGGACAATTCCGTCTTTAATAAACTTCATGATATAAACCCATCTCTTGATGTGTCACCATCTCTGTCTTTGTCAAACCGCCATGATCAAACAGTTCTTCTTCGATGCCGAATTGGACACACTAAAGTTACCCACTCTTATCTCCTCACGAATGACAATGCCCCTTTCTGTGTAGCTTGCAATGAAAATTTTACTGTCAAGCATTTTCTTCTGGAATGTCATGATTTTTCACAGGCCCGAAATAGATTTTATAATGTAAATTCACTCAAAGAACTCTTTTATACAATTCCATCAAAAAACATCATCGATTATTTGAAAGAGATAAACTTCTATTCAAGGATCTAATTGACTCTTTTTTGTTGTCATTTGCAAAGTTTTACATAATATTTTAAGCCTATTATAGCATTCGGCACGATATGGTCATTTTTGTGTTGACGTGCCGTAAAATCCAAACAAACAAACAAAGGATTTCACATACTGCTAATATCAATTTCAAATAATAAGTATTACCACGGGGGTGGAACCCCATATGAGTCTCAAAAATGAGCATCGGTAAAAATGATATGTGAATTTCCGCTGCACCAGATGTGAAGCATAACACCAGATGTGACTGGAAAAATAGGCCGATCGCAGGGTAAGTTTTCATCTTTTCAAACATTTATATAAAATTCAATCCTTTTTTTAAGAAAATCGAAATGTGATTCTACCCTCCTGACTCTACTCTATATTACCCCTTGTTGTTTTGGATTTCTATGCAGTCTTCATCGAGATATTCTTTCCGTCGTGGGTTCTGGTGTGTTCAAAACATGCAATATGAATGAAGAAAATGTCACTAAACGGACTCGAAAAACATAGATTTTACAAAATCTCACTACAGGTCGATGCTAAACATTCAAACAAATCCTGGTTTAAATATTTATTGAGATTTGGCTACATACAAGGGAATCGCTGCTCAAAATTGAATTTGAGCTCCAGATGTGCTGAAGAGATTCATATGTGCATAGCATGAACAATTAGCAACAATCTAGAATTTATTCTATTGTGTATCATTCTGTAATAAATTCTATTATCCGAAATAGACACATTTTTACGAGACGAGCTTGAATAACATAGTATCCATATAGAAAGAGATATAAGATATTCTGCATACGAAAGATTTTTAAAATACGTAGATATGGTGGGAAGGCCTTGCTTATTTTCACTTATTGACGTCGTGTGTACTGCAATCTTTCCCTTTTATGCCACCATGCATTAATTAATTAATTAATTATTCACTCGACTGCACTGTCTGCTTAATAGGAGAGTAATGTGAAGCGTGTTTGAATTTGTTATGATGCTGTAAGAAAGTTAGTGATAAACTTTTAAAAAAAGATCAAAGAAGATTTGCATATTTATTTTCCACATTAAGAAACGTCCCTGCAGAATATTTACATGGTTCACTTCATGCCCACAGTCGCAATTATAGGTCATTGCCTATCTGAATTTTATGCCTGCTCTGTAATTCTTTGAATGGTTTTAAAGAAACTTTAACATATCTTAACAGTAATATTGAGCGGACATGCGTAGCTCATAATGCACATAGATTGTTTCCTGAAAATGTTCATGTACGCAAAACGATCACTGAACTTATTCTCCGCTTTATAACTGTTATTTCAGTGGGAACTGTAAATTATAAACACTTTCGTAATTCGTTTCTTTTGTTATTTTTCAGGAAAATGGGTCGTTTTCTAGGCACAAAAAGGAAAGGTTTAAAACTTTCAAGAATAAAACGTCACGTGTATCGTGAAAAGAGGAAGTCATCAGCGCTTACATCTCCTTTTTCGCCTTTTAAATTGTCCCATGTGTCTAAAGATTCCGCGTATCGCAGACTCCAAAGTCCAAGAATTCACCAGAAAGTGCACGTATTACTTTTTCCAATTCAAAGAAAAAACGCTTAATATTCAATTAACAACTATTAAGTCCCATGAAATGTTCTTCACAGAAAAGATTTGCAAAGATAAATAAAATCAGTTACAATAAACAGATAGACATTATGGATGACATGTGTTACATACAAAGTAACCGAGGTTTCGGGTGGGAAATTTTATCTATGGAGAGAAGCCAATCATAAATTGAAATTTATGTTTATTAAAATTCTCATTTCTGTTTATCATGCGATAAAACAGTTATAATATATCGAACTCGACTATTATGTAGAAATATCATGACCTGGGGCGGCATCTCGGGTTTTCCTTACAGACAATATGTTCTCGGCCCATATCCTGCAAAGAAAAACTTTCGATGCCGCACTAGGCCATGATATTTACACATAACAGTCTGTCGCTATAACTTGTGGAATATTAAAGTGATAGATATTTTTATGAATGTAAACATTATTAAAGAAACATATTATATGACACGATAGCTTTACAAAGTTCAATACTCTCAGTTTGGTTTGTCCAAATTACATATCATTTATTAGTGAATTGTTTATCATAAGAGTACTATCCACTCTGCGTCAACATTTTCATGTACGCGGGCCTTTTAATATTTCTTATGCTATTATAAGCTAGTTAGCTCTAATGTTACTATTAAACTTTCAGCCAAAGATGCAAAACCTATATTGTTCTATAAATTGGCTATTCAATGATTATATGGAAGTGGTCCGTAGTTTTGTAGATGGTTTCCTACATCACTTATGAATCTCTTCAGCACATCTGGAGCTCAAATGCAATTTTGAGCAGCGATTCCCTTGTATGTAGCCAAATCTCAATAAATATTTAAACCAGAATTTGTTTGAATGTTTAGCATCGACCTGTAGTGAAATTTCGTAAAATCTATGTTTTTTGAGTCCGTTTAGTGACATTTTCTTCATTCATATTGCATGTTTTGGACACACCAGAACCCACGACGGAAAGAATATCTCGATGAAGACTGCATAGAAATCCAAAACAACAAGGGGTAATATAGAGGAGAGTCAGGAGGGTAGAATCACATTTCGATTTTCTTAAAAAAGGATTGAATTTTATATAAATGTTTCAAAAGATGAAAAATTACCCTGCGATCGGTCTATTTTTCCAGTCACATCTGATGTTATGCTTCACATCTGATGCAGCGGAAATTCACATATCATTTTTACCGATGCTCATTTTTGAGATTCATATGGGGTTCCACCCCCGTGATTACTATTTGATGAATTTCTCTATGCATATGGAAATAATGCATAGATATGTAAAAACAGAGATAAAACACAAGAACTTATTGATGTCACAACGGAAATAATACATCAATTTACGACATCATTTACATAATTTGAAGTTCTGTTTTATGTCGTTTTTCGCCGTAGGATTCACGGAACAG